TCTAAAAACAACTATAACAACTTAACTGTAATCGAGTTTACTTTAAAGAACAAATTTCGTTCATAATCATTATTGTTTTCGAATACTATATGGTATTTATTACCGAGAATGTTTATACCGATTACCAATATATGTATATTACTATATAATTAGACATATAGTGGTAAAGGACATGATGCTGAAAAAATTAACAATTAGCAGTTTAGCACTAGAAATATGTAAAATTAGGTGTATCACCTTACAGGTACATATAGCAATTTCTATATATTATGGTTTGCTGTATACAATAATTACGGTGTTTGGTGTTCAAATCGAGAATAATAGGTAAGCAAATTTGTTCCACTTCTGGTTAATCGAAATGTATAAAAATCTGAGCAGCTATAGTCCGTTTATTTTTATATTAATCTATTATTATTATTATTATATTAATCTAATGTTATTATTATTGTTTTCTAATAGTAAATTAGGTCAACGACAGTTTGCAAACAAAATAATAATTGTATTAATATTTATATGAAACAATATTAGTATATCGAAAAAAATATATTGATAGTGAAAAATGTTTTTTTTTTTTATTACCGATACATTTTAATATTTTATTATTTCCAACCTCGATAAAATATCCAAGTGGTTTACGCAGCATAAACTAAACTTACTAAACACAATATAAACACAGACGTGCTATGTTTAAAGTCTATACCTATACAAGTAGTAAAAGTACCTATATTGCTACGACCTACGTAAATATCCATAATTCCTGTGTAACTTCGGTACGCCTTATTTTTTTTATACATTATTATATTATAATTTATGACATTAATCTCCTGGGACAATTTATTGACTTATGAATTATATGATAATTTAGGGTTGTTCCGCAATATAAATAATATAATGCATTTTATCAATGAATTATTATTTATTGGAACTGGCCGTTAAAGGTATAATATAACGTTAAAATGAAGTTAAAAACTATATAGGTAATACAACATAGTTATTAGTGTTATTGCATATATAGAAAAAAACTGCGATATAACGTTATGTAATATAACAGTATTTTGTAAGTGTAATTTTATAGTTTACACGCTTTCATAGATAAAACTATTGAATATGAATAATATATTTAATATGAATATTTTCCAATCAATTATTATGAATTATGATATAATATCATTATCATGCTATTATTATATATTCATTACTTTTAAGTGCTCCAAATACTGCAGTAGAGCAGTAGCAGTATCGAATTATTTTTATATCAAATAAATTGGCACAATAATAGGTATATATATATATAATGTCCGAGTTGTGTGGACTTTAGTCTTCAGTTTTTACCATTTACCTAAACAGTTCTATATCATATAATATTTAAATAAACATGAATAACTATACCTATTTAGGGACTATTATTTTCTTGGATGATGGTATTTACTCAACACCAATGTGTGAAACTATAGTTAGTACCTATCTACCTATAGGTATTTCGTAAATATAAATATTTAAGAGGACGTGGTAACGGCATGTGTCACCATAATATTAAGTTTTAAATTAAAATTTTTTTTTTTTAATATTCTATACTTAAAAACCGTTACATGTTGTTACATTTTGTAACGGTTAATAGAAAAATCAATTACACGAAAATATACACGTAGGTACAGTTAACGGATGACCAAAAAAAAAAAAAAAAAAACAATTATAATTAAATATAGAAATATAATATTCAGAAATAATCTTGTTAAATCGGTAAAAATAAATAAACGTTATACACTTTTACACTTATGTAAAGAATTAGTAGCGGCCAACTCGTTAATTCGTGGCTTAGGTGTCCATGGTATCCATGGGATATTTAAACCTTCAAATTCCATCAAAAATAATGAATACCTAATTCCAATGATATTATATAAAAAAAAATCATTATTTGATTCAGTTCGATAAATATATATTATTCAAAGCTCTAAAAATACAAGAACAACTTATAAGTAACCTTGCATTACATTTTTAAACCATCAGACTAGTACAAGTACCTATAACAAAAATGTCATCAACATATAGGTATATAAATCTAAAAAAAAATCCTAAAAAAATTTTACATTTCAATTGTCTACTTATGACAACTAATGAATAATATCTAATAATATCTCAAAGAGAGCGATTATATTTATTGTATATACGTACCTATATACGACCTACATATAGATTATTATAACATTAAGTAAAATGGTACCGATGAATTGGAAAGTTTTTACTGTTAATTTTTGTTGTATAGTATAATAAAATAAGTAATAAATAAAATCGTTTGGGAAAAATATGGAAAAATCGTCATATTAAATTAAAATATTGAATATCCAATTTTATCAACATTTGAACTTCAAACGAATATACAAATTAAAAATATGACTATAGTTTCAATCATTTTTTCAATGGCATAAGTTTTTACAACTTATATAAGTTATATAATATACTTTGTATTAAATTGTTCACATTTTTTGAGAAAAGAATTGTTTTATAAATGCAAATCAACCTAACCAATCAAGGAAACCTTATATAAGCTTTTATTACCTATTAATAATTTAACTATAAAACTAGTCATGAACATTTTAAATTGTAATATTTTACTTACCTACTTAGGCTACTTATAAATACTTAGATAACTAGCTTTAAAATAATTCGAATATCAACAATAAAACCTATAAGGTGCACTAGTCATTATTGTTACCTTTAAATTTGTTACTATGCCAATAGCCAATTCATAAAATTGGTTCTGCTGATTGCTGAACGCAAGATTGGCTGTATTTTGTGCACAGGTCATAACTCATAATGAAAATAAAAAGTGCATCAAAAGATAATTAGACTCTAGTTAAGCTTACATTGATAATCATAAATTGTATTGTAGAAGCAAAATTAACATTAACATATTCATAAAGGTATATAAATTGATAATATACCTTTATGAATATGTTAATGTTAATTTTTTAAACATTTTAAGTCTACGATTTTTCTTTTTTTAAATTAATGTAATTTTTTTTAAACTTGTGATTCAACGTAAATATTCCCGTTTTCCGTGATTTTTCATTAGTTTTTCTTAATTATTAAGGAAAATTTCCTACTTGTCAACATTCAATGTACCAATAAGATTACGTTTTCTATTAGAAATATAGTGATGAATCGTCACTGATGATTGAATCAAATTTTCTGCTCCAAACGTAATGATCGAAACATGGAAAAAAACACATAATTATATTTTATTATGTCATCGTTGTAATGGCTCCGATTTAATATTTAAGGCACCCACCTACTTATTTTGTTGGAACTTTAAAGTCTAAAGACCATTATATAATATTGTGATGATCTATAGACGACAGACTATAATATTTTAACAATTGCCTAAAAAAGTAAAATATAGAAGGGTACCTCTCAACAGTGGCGGACTGGGCGACTGGGATACCGGGAAATTTCCCGGTGGGCCGCTGCTGGTATAAAATATATATTTATTAATATTATAATGGTGAAATAATAAATTAAAATATTATCTAATAAGAAATAAGTACCTATGTAATATAAAATATTATTAAACATAAAAACCTAGCTTTCTGATTAGGTATTTTAAAATGCGGTACTGGCTTGTGTTCGCCAGACCAGGCTTACAGTGGGTTACAATAATAGTAGGTCACTGTAATGAATGGTATTAAATTTGAATTCAATGATATAATATTATTGTGTGCGAGAAACGAAATTTTGAGACGGTATGTCAATAATATTACTATAGCTAAGCAATAGGCATATTTTATAATATTATTGTGATTAAAGTAATTAATTTTAGTATTAGGCATTAGTATCTTCTACAGTAGGTTAAATTCATTTTTCCCCAAAAAAATACATTTGAAAATGTCATTGTGTGTATAAAATACAATAATATGTCAATATATTCTTAAAAGTTTCTTATATCCACGAATAATATTTATTTTTAAATTACAACAAAATAACCAAAATCGATATTATTGGATTTAATATGTAATTTCGTCCAAATTTTTGTTTAATAATAATAAATTTATTTATTGCTAGTAGTTGATAAATGTGAACAAAGTGTATAGTTAACATATGAATTTGCTAGCTTTGCTCTATACACTGAGGTAATACCTCCTATCGTAGAGCAAGAATACTAATCTAGATATAATTAAAAAATTTAATAAATTTTATTTAAAATAAAGAAATAAAAATTCACAATTTGAATTTAAAATGTCTATAAGAAATAACTGTGCTTATATATTTTTTAGATTTGTTGGCCATAATAAGAACAATTTATGAGAATCTATATTTTACATTTTTAATCCTTAGTTATAAAAACTGAACATTTCATAATTTTGTAATTACAATGATTGATAATTTTCAAGATTTTGATACATTTTGTCAAAGTCCAAACTTTAAATGATTATAAAAAAATTTGTGCCTATGCACAATTGAGAGGCTCTCAAACCACTCCAATTTTATTTTATCCGTTTCTCGATATATAGTAGTTATTTAAAAAATATATTTATTTATTCATGTATCAATGTGTGTAAATTAAAATGGTGATAATAAAATAATTATAGACAGCAGTGATATTTTTTTCTAATAATATACATAAAATGTGTACTTGTTTTAACAAGATAATTAAAATAATATCACTCTAGATTTTGCTGTAGCAAAGTCATTTTTAATGAAATTCATAATTTATTCTATAAGATGTTGACTTATAAAATAATGTTTTCAAATTTCGCCGCCGGGGGCATATGCCACCTTTGCCCCTCGTTAAACACGCTACACGCCTCTGTCCATTAGCCAAACCTCGAAATAACAATTAATGATTTTAATTTTTGAATATGAATGTCAATCATCGAAGTTATCATATTTAAAATAATAATAATAACATAATATTATCAATTCAACACCTTCCTGCGACATTCCAAATATCTACTGATAAGACGTACAAGGTTTGTCAGTTAGTGATAAAATGTTAGACTACATTCTGAACGTTTTCAATAGATTAGTCATTTTAATTTCAATTCAATTTTTACACCGTTTTCATAAATTGATATCAAAATAATAATAGAAACAATGGATTGTCCACTTAGAGAATTAAAAACTTGTAKACTGTTGTGGTAAGTTTTTTTTTAAATTTTAATAGATTATTGTTGTTGTAAAAAACTAGATCATAAATTGATGATCTAGTAGTCTACATCATTTCAGATTAGGGCATCTATAGTATTATTTTTAACCATTAATTTATATAGAATTAATTATGTACTACTACAGGTATCTCTGACCTTTGAACAATTAGCATTAAAAGTATTTTTCAAAAGTGATTCATTGTATAAGTATACATATTTAATGGTTCAAATCTTGAATTTTGGAAAACAAATATAATAAACTATTTCACAAAATTAACATTTGATGAAGTACTATTTTTATTGTTTGGATTATTGCAGCTATATTATATTATTATTATTATCATACAAATGTAAATTTTATTAAGTCTTATTACTTATGTTTTATAGGCAGACAAACAATGCTGGGTATTAAGTCTATGGTGTGATTGAAGTTGGTATAATTTATAATTGTATAAAATCTATCGATAATCAATAAATTATCGATTTATGATGCGTAGTTAAAGCGGAATAATTAMTACAACACAGAATCTCTTCTCAAAACCCTTCAAGCACGTTACCAAATTTAATTATAGTATTCTGCTTAAAAAGGTCAGTAAACAGTTACGTTTGATATTTTATTATCAATAATAAATCCATGTTAATTGCCATTAAAAAAGAGTTTGTAAAAGTAAATATTTTAATAGTTAATAAATTAATAGAGGTTTCTCTATTTATAGATACTTGTCATAAGCAGATACTATAAAAACTTTCTGCAGAAGATACACAATTAAGCTCATGAATAATGAACAGTCAATACCAGTGTTCAACTTATGGTCGCATGTGTTATTAAAATGTTATGTGATAACATAATCTATAGATCAACAAATAACAGCTTATAAATTCAAAACTGTAAGATTTTATTCTAGTTTAAGAAGACGTCGCACCCGCATGTGTTGTCTTTGTCTTACAAGTGGGTAACATAACAAATTTTATGTTCAGAAGATCACGTTTAGCTTTTTGTTATACAAAATAGAATGTATTAACCTCTTATAAAGTTTAAAGATAAAATTATTATCTAGTTAATATCAGGATTTTTAATATATTTTAATTTTAAAGCGAGTTATGAGTACTTTAAAATTTAAAATTGTACATCTCTAAAAAACCCATAACTCACTTTAATTTTGATAAGAGGTCAATTCACTCTAAATTTTAAACTAATGGAGCTAAATATGGATTGCTGAGTGTAAAATTTGCTATGCTACGCACTTGTAAGACGGTTCCAATATATGCAGGTGCACGTCCTCTTAAGAAATATAAACTTACTTAATTATGAAGCTAAGAAGAAAATTTGTGAATTTAAGTTTACACTAACTATGTCAATTTTCGATTAAAAACAAACTTAATACAAAAATTTAAAAAAAAATGGCTATTCAAATCTCTAAAAAATTGTTGTCATTAAAAAAAAGATAAGCTGTAGTTACATGCAAAAGTACAGTACTATCATCTCTCTTTAGTCTTTACTCATATGAAATTCCCATCTTGACCTTAGTAATGTATCTCTTGTTGTGAACACTCTGTATAGTGTATAATATGTTACCAGTTAAAACAAAAATTAAGAAATTAATGTTAATGAATAGTAAATAAAAATATTTCTGATCAAATTAAACAGTATACAATATTGACTAGGAAATAATGTTAATGTCAATTATATTTTGGCACTGGTGCGTTTAAAAACATTTTCTAAGTTATGACAATAATTCCAAACAACTCCAGACATGATTTACAAAAATATTAAATCAACTATTTATTTTAATTTTATAATTTAATGATAAAGTCTTATTAATTTATATAAAAAAAAAAAAAACTATTTATTTATTCAATTAGAAATGGCCTTGTGATGTAAAATTGATTTACATATTTAATTATATATAATCAGTAATAAAAATAATGTACTTTCCAACTCTGATGATTCGTTGGTTGTATATTAGGTACCTATTAAGTAAAAGATGTCTATAGGATAATATATCTGTCGTCTGTTTAGTATGTATATAATATAAATCGCAATAATTTATTTGTTATAATAATTAATTAAATAATAATATTTGAATTCACGCACACCTACTAGTCCAATGTATAACACATATTTTGTATCTCTACATATAGTAGATATTACCATTGATTTTATAATATATTATAAAATCAATGCTAGTATCTACCTATACCTACCTTCAAAGTGTACAGTACATCGAATTGTGAAAATAAATTATTCAATTTATTTTATTTATGTAATATTAATATTGTATTATTTATGTAATTAATATTATTAAATTTCTGACCCAATTAAAATATTTCTCTTTAAAAATATTATCAACATTGTCTATCAATATTAGACATTAAGGATATTTCCTAGTCATAAAAGTAAATTAATGTGTTAACAAAATATTTCATTTCCACTACATGGCCCATGTTGTCAGTTAATGCCTAGGTATTGACAATATTGTCTACTAATGTTAGAAGTTTATGATATTAGCTAGGCATTTACGTTATTAATTATTAAAATTTATCTTATTTACATAATTGACGATAACATTTAATTATACTATATTAGGTGTTAAATTTTGAATATTGTTAATCTATATCAATAATAAAATAAAATAAAAGTGACTCATTCTATTTTAATATAATAGATATTTATTTATATTTTTATTCCTTTAGTAAAATATTATTATTATTTTACTAAAACTATTTTTGAAAAACTAATTTATTATTTTACTTCAAAATTTCTGATTGGTTACCTATATTATTATAATATTTAAAGCCTACATAATTATATTTAATGTTTATTAAATAAAAATCAATCAATCAAAAGACCCTGTCTGTGATAGAAAAGATTATGTTTTTTTGCTATTTTACTATGTTTAGACCTGCAGACCTGACATATCATAAATTATTTAGTAATATAGTATTAATGTATTTGAGTATTTAATGTACTAGTTTTGAATATTTAATTAAGTATCTACTATCTTCATTCTCATTTATAGATGTTAGGGTTTAAAAATAAATATATATATATATATATWTTTTTTTTTAATAAACCATTTTACATTTTTTTTAGATGTCCTACGATCATATGAGAAGAGGAACTATTACTGTACCAAAACTGCAATGAACTTTAAACAGTGATACAGCTCCTTGTCTACTGCCAAAAACTAAACTAGAATACACCTAAAAATTCTGAACAATCTGTATGAACCTTTGAACCCTCAAGAAAGAAAAAAAGTTGAGGCTGTTACACCATTAAAAAATATTAATAGTAAAGTTTGTTATGAGTTATTATTAAGTATTATTTAAAAAAAGTAAAAATAAAAAATTTCATTTTGTTTTAAGGGCATATCAACACACTATTTATTTTCTCTCTCTCTGGTCAACGCTCAACATAGACAAAACACATTTACGCTGAATCATTTTTCTATGTTATTAAGTAATCTTAGAGTAAATTCACCTGGTTCAAAAATGATAGAGAATAATATTTTTGAGGGCATAGCATATTGATTTGTCTAAAAATTGTTTCAAAACAATTTAAACATAATTTAAGTTTACTAAATTTTTTGTTTATTTTGAATTGAATACGAAATCAACAATAAAATATAATATTGATATGTCATTCCTCAAAAATATTATTCTCTATTTTTTTTTTTAATAGGTGATTTTACTCTAAGATTAATTAGAAACAGAAAAATGATTCTGCATATTGTGTTTTGTCTATGTTGAGGGCGAGCCAGAGAGAAAACAAATAGCCTGCTGACATCTTTTTAATATTATATTATAAAACTATGGTATAATGTTAATCTATATTAGATCTAGAATCCATACAAATTTTTAGTTTGAAACCTGGATCAAGCAAAAACCATTAGATCACTACAAAAATCTTAAAAAAATGTAATTTCCAGTGCGTCTTCTCAAATATAAAATATTTTTTATTTAGATTATATCTCATATCTGAAGGCACTTAAATCAAACCTTGTAAATTAATAATTGGTTATAAAATATTTYATAATCTATATGACTTAAATATCACTTTTTATATTGCAATGATTCAACAATAATTTTTAATAGCAGTATTGCATAGGTAAATGTAAAACAAAATATTAAAAATGACAATTTTCAAATTTATGTTTAGGATCTATATCTACTAAATTATACATACTAAATTTGAATAATGAATACTACTTAAATTTAGTAAATGTATGCGTAATTATCCGTATTTAAATTTCTTCAAGTAATTTTGTACCAACAGTTAATGTGTATTTTATTTTTGTTGCATTTAGGTTTTCTGAGAATTAAAATAGTGTTATTATTCTAAACTATTTTACCTTTAATTGAATACATTGAAACCAATTATAAATTATGATGTCTTACAAATAAAAAACAATTTGTTTAGAAATAAATTATTTGTTAAAGTATGTGACTTAAAAATTATACATATATTTATTATTTATTTTATCTTATAAGTTATTTTAAATTATTGGCCATAGCCAGAATTATAACTCTCGTTATTATACAAAACTTTACTTTAACATTTTTTTTTTTCAGGTTTTGGGCTGAGTAAAATTAATTTATATTCCAACAATATTTGGTTCTTTTACTCACATTTTTCTGGAATAAATGCTCCAACAGTTAACATATTTATTAATCACTTTAATTAAGAAATTGCATACAAAAGCTACTAAAAAAACAGCCATCAAAGCTTATGGCAGACTAATTTTGATATAAATTTACTTTTAGTAATAAACTAATAAACATTATTCCCATGTATTACTGGAAACAAAATTTTTCCCAATGTATTACAAATTTTTATTACTTCTAAAAATTATGTATAATTGTATTATAATCTATTAATTTATTAAATCACAATTTTTTTGATTATTTATTGTTTTTGTATATATTATTTCTTTATAATAATAAGTCTATATCACCCATTATTTTTATTAAAATGCTTGATGAATCTCCCACTCCTCAATATGTAGTTATTATGTTATCACATTCAGTAAAAATTAAGATTATAATTATAGATTATAGATTTGAATTATTATATAATTAGTTTTCCAATAATTATTTTAATATTATTATTGATATTTATAAAATTGTTATGATGAATATGTTTCTATTAAAATTGATATTTTGTATGTTGTGAGGAATGTAGTCATAATCTACTAATTTGTAATTAAGTAAACTATCAATACATTACTATATTTTTATTATTTTTATAATAATTTCTTAATTCTAYGCTGAACATAATATTAAAATTTGAGTATAGTATGTTACCCACATTTTATGTTTTGCATACAGCCAATTATGTTATTGTCATGTGTATGACTGAATTAAGTTTTAAATTTACTTATTCTAAAAAATAATAATAAATATTAAATAATAGAGCTAAATAAGTTGCTAACAAGTATTGCTAAGTAAAATCAATGAAATGAGATATGATAAACTAAATCCATTAAATAAATTTTATAATTTATTAATAAATAGATTTTTTACTTAAATATTTTCATTTAATATTTATACATAGAAATGTCAATTTTTTTATTTCATTACCTAACTATTGAATTTTATTTAATACTAATTGATACCATACACTTTATTGACTGTTCAAAATGCCAACTCTGTATGATTCAAAATTTGTCATTTAATACCTAGTGTAGTGATGTTCAAAACTTCTCGTGAAAAATTCCCGTGGATTTACCTGATTCTAATCTCTATAAAATATCTATATTAGTCATATAAAACACAGGTCTAAAATTGTATTGAATCATGACTACTTTTTTGTTCTTATATGTTTTAAAACCGGTCCCAAATAACCAATTGCTAATTTCATATTAATTAATAATAAATTATCTATGCTAAATTGTGTGACCAATAGCCCTATAAATTATAATAAATGAAAATAAATTATTATTTATTATTTATATTATTTCTATAAAAATTTGCAATTAAAATCATTAAAGGTACTTATCAAGACAAAATATAGTCTGTAATTCCTTGGGATAGTGTATTTTTCTGATGGTAAAAATATGTTTAAAATTAGTTAAATAGTTCTAGAGATTGTCTGGAGCAATTGAACAATTTTCTTCTTTTATATATTATTATAGATTTAATAACCTATAATTTATGAATATAAAAAAAAATTTTGATTTTTCAACAACTTAAATTTAATCATATCATTATCTAAGCTATTAAGAACTCGTTTTTCAATCACCATCAACACGAATGACTGATTATTTGGTTGTCACTGAATTTTCAAATAGGYTTAAATATTTTTAAGTAGTTGAAAGTATGATAAAGTGAAAATACCATTTATAAAAATAATTATCAACATTCAATATTTTTAATACCTAAATCATTTATTGTTCAGAAGTGAATTTATTGGTATAATTCATAAATTATKGTACTAAATTAATACAATAATATCATGTACACTTTAAGATTTTAATAAGATTTAAGAAAAATACCTATTAAAAAATAATTCTCATAAAGTTTTTTTATGGATATTACTTACAATATTTTATAGCGCTTTTGATGTTCCTTTATTTTTTCTGAACTCAAATTGATTAATAGAGATAATATGTGATGTGTTAAGAAACTCATATAATCTTGATTTTATACATTTTTCAAGCACTTTAGAATTAGATAAAGTATAAACTATAAGTTAGAGATATTGGCCGATAATTTATACAAATATTTTTAGTTCCCTGTTTAAATTATAATAATTTTGTAAAGTGTATTTGGAAAAATTCCAAAAGCTAATAAAAAATTAAAAATAAATTCTAAGGGTRTGATAATGACATTAATAATGTACCTACTTCAAAACATGATTTGYTAACTCTATATTATATAAAAARAATTTCTTTTCCTTACTACTGAGCACAACATTTTTAATTTCATCTTTAGAGATTGACAGAAGTAAAATAGAGTCTATATTAGCTTWAGAATTAGATTTATGTATTGTGAAAATTTTGCTTAAAGTAAATTAATCTTTTTTTTTATTTTTTCACCAACATTTATAGAAAAAAATATTAATGCTGTATCGATGCAATTATGCCTGTAGTGATCCATTTTTTTAATTTTATACTTTAATTAAGGTTGATTGAACTGTTTGGTAATTATAGACAAATACTAAAGATACAAAATTAAAATTGATTCTACTTTACACAAATCAGCTATATTGTATGTTTTTTAGAAAGAGGCAACACGATCTAAAGTTCTCTCAGATGTTTGATTTAGATTGTAATGTATAATGAATATACTATGAATTCTTTGATAAACTTAGCTTATTAGAAGTCAATTTTMAATTTTTCATTTTAAAGAACTTTTCTAAATAGCCTACCTAGTATACAAATCTATGAATTCCGCAATTTATTTGAAAATTACAATCGARCTTAAAGAATTTATTATGCTTAATTTACTATCCACCGCTTTTAGTGGTTTTAATCAAAGTTATGCAATTTAAAAAAAATTCTATTTTCCACAACATATCAAAATGTGGTTTAAAAAGACAGCGGTTTATTCACACTATTTTTATTTTGTTTTATAATCTTCAACAATTTATTACTCGCACAATGATTCAGTCTACGTGTACATGTCATATGAGTTGCCTATATACTACCCCTTAAAAAAATGATAGGCCCCGGTCCCTTGATATTTTGTGCACAACGATTTACGACACGGGCTCGTTTCACGACCACATGTACAGTACGCWTGCGTCATACGCACGTTTTTCCGATTTAAATTTTCGTAAATATGGCTACTGCCGAATGACGAACCTCTAACGATATAGCGGTGGCGGCACCGAGTGAAGTATCAAACGGCAACGGCTATGATAGTTAATGTCATAAGTCATAACGTTATAGCGACTCGCAGCCATTCTTGGATTTCGTGTAGGTTTTGAATAACAAAAAATTCAATTTTTAAAAGCTTTGATTATCTAATGCATCTAGTAACTTATAAATATGTATTAAATATTTTAAATTAAAGTCAACTAATAAAACTAAAAATAGTAAGTACCAATATAAGTAATATAACATAACATTTTTCAATTTCTGAAATTATAATAAGTGAGGTGATGCCTCACTTTTCTCATCCCATAAAACATTATTATATCATTATCACTAGGGCTCACATTTTCCAAGTTGTTGCATTTGCCATGTTTTATTTTTTAACCATTTATTGCTATAATGCTATGGGAGCTAGAACCTAGAAATTCATTTCAAGACACTATATGAAAGACATATCGACAGTTTATAGTACCTACATATTTTGATGATTTTTGAATTTTAAAGCACGTTCTTAATTTTACATTTTTTAGAGTATATATTATAATTTTCAGTATGCAAATTCATAAATAAAACATATTTTTTCTCAATATATTCATATTGAGAGAACTTACTATTTGTWACTAGATATTTTTGTATCGTATTTTTCAAATTTCCATTTGACATTAAAAACAATAGTTTTCCCCTATTGATTAATATAATGTATAAATATTTATAAATTATAACTACCTACAGGTAGATTTATCTAAAATAGAATATTATACAAAATATCCATGATAGAAACAACTGCTATCGAAATAATAAAGACGATTATTTTCCAATAGATACTTTTCTAGTGAAATAATTCAATAACCATTTTTGATGGGATGACAGCCTGAAATTGTTGCCAGTTTTGTCTTACACTTCCTTGTTAGTAAGTTGTAGTATTACACTTCGTTTTTCTTGCTTCAATTACCTACCTATACTATTTGTATTTCATTATGTCAAAAACCAAACAATCTGCAACAAATCGTCTAAGTCTTAATAGTTTTGTGTTGGAATACCGTACGTATTACTTTCTTCTTCTATATTTATAATTTTATAAAATATTTGTGTAAATGAACATTTTGTGGAAAAAAATAAAATAGAAGTGCATATTTTTAGAGCATATTTGTACCTTTTTAAGCGCATAAATGTTTAGTACTTTCTAAGTGCATTAAGTCCTGAGCCCTAATTATCACAAATATACATTTACAAAAATATAGGTATTATATGAAATCAGATTTTCGAAACTATGAGTATAAATATTTAAATTTCTTTTTTACTTTTTTGGAAAACAACATACGATTTCAACTTCATATTCGAAAGCAGAACATTTCTCCAAGTATTTCGATACATACCTAATAATCGAATTCAGGACGAGTAGTTATAACTTTATAAGTATTTAATGATCAGATGAGTGGAGTATAATATCAATTTCAAAATGTAGTTGATTATAAAACTTACAAGTTAATAGAAATAAAAAGAGCACGTCATAGAAATCAAAACCGTATAATATATTTAAACAATTTTTTAAGTCGATTAAGGACAGTCTGGCGGTTGGTACATTTTTAAGAGGATGTCACACCCGCATGTGTTGTTCCGTTGTACAAACGTAGAACATAGTAAAAACTGTACTTACGTGGGACAATTTTTTCCCACAGTATTTATAATAGAATTATCAGAATTCCACAACGCATAGATAAGAACTTTATCTGTGCCGTAGCGTCGTAATTTTTATTTTTATGGAACAAACCAATAATTTTTAATAACTAAATGACAAAATAAATGTATTTTCTTAAGCTGTTTACTTTAATTATATTTATGTTATCAAAAAAAATAACGGCTCTACGACACAGATAAAGTTCTTACCTATGCGTTGTTGAATTCTGATAATTCTATTATAAAAATTAAATACAGAGAGAGAAAAGTTGTTCCGCGCAAAACAGTTTTTACTATGTTTTACGTGTGTGTAAGACGGAGACTGCGCATGCGGGCGTGG